AGCCCCAACGTACCCATGAGCGAAGCTCCGGGTGGTCCGTCCCTATCGCGGCCAGGCGAAACGTCGACGCTACGCAGATTTTCCTGCCCGGCATTACAAATACTGTGTTGCTGTCCCATTGCTATTGACCTTGCCGACGATTGCAGTCGCGTGAGCTGCGGCATTGTTTTGCTTCGGTAGGCCCTCACTTGGGCGCCCGTCCGTCGAACCTCGGGAAAACGACCATCCGGGGCTTGCTCCAACCACCGTTGCGCGAGCACAGTCGCAAACTACTGCATTTGAAGCGCCTCCTGACCGGTCGGAAGGGCTACGCCTAGGCTTCGTCTGGTACAAGGTAGCGCGTTGGCTACCCACTCCACTGAACCCAGTTATTCAGGGTTTCGGTCGCTTGTCCAAGCAAATAGTCTGCAAAGGTCAAGAAGTCCGCAAGCTCGTGTCGGGCTTGATTCAGGGGGCCAATATGGGCGGTATTGGCAAACCCCATGTCTTCGAAGTGTTCAATCATGGTATCCATAGCCCTCAGAGCTGCTACGGCATCACATCTCAGTTGAATTGCCATTCTGTATCGGTAGAGGTCAGCTTGGAATTGCACCAGGGTGGGCTGGCCAATTTTGCCGGACAAAGAAAAGCGGAAGCCCACCCTCCACTACCCTGGAACCAAACTTAACGAAACGTGAGAGACATGTTTGAATGAATGCAAGCTTGTTTTCCATCACTGCAAAACAAGGATGCTCTTAAGAAATAAATAGTTCGTTGACTTCTGCACTAAAAATCACCGGAATATGTCGTTTCTACAAAAAAATCTTCAGTCGCCTAACGACCTGTTACACCTGATGTTCACCTCTGAAACTATCGTCGACTTCTTTGACAACGGTGACATCTCCTCCGCGGTAGGCTCGGTTGGCCCCTCTGTATGTGCTGGTACATGGGTGTTGACTCTTTCGAGGCGAGCTAGCTCACCGCACCAAATACGAAACGCATGTCGACAATGAGCAAGCTCACCTCTGTTTGAACCTTTTTGTCTTCTTCGCGCTGCTGCGACATGTGCCATGTGCGGAATCTAGAGTGGTTTCGAAACGACTGCACTGCACAGGGGACCGGATGTGTCACAAAACACACGTGTTGCAAGGATGGTATCGAGACACTGGAGACGAGGTGTTGGAGGAAAGGGCAAGAGTCTGCGATGGCAGATGTATGGCATGGGGCCTCTTGTCTCCAGAGAGTTAGACAGACGACGGAGAACAGCACTGGACTGGCCAATTGGTCCGTCCGACCTAGTAGAGATGTGGTTGGTGCTTTTCTGGGATATCACGCCCCTGGGTGTCCTCTGCGGCCAGAACGAAACACTTGCACCCACCAGTTGCGGGCTGCTTGTTGCCATCAAGTTGACCGATCGAAAGCTCCCTGACAGGTGCATTCACCTCCACCACCACCACCTCCACCACCGCCACCACCACCACCACCACAAGCACAACTACAACAACAACACCAACAACCACAACGACAACCACAACTCCACCACGCTAGCCACCAGCGCCACAACCACAATGTCCACCACAACCACTACGTGGGTCTTGTGCACCCAGTGTCCCCGACTCGTTTCCGACCACCATTCACACCACAACCACAACAACAACAACAACACCAACAACAACAACAACGACAAGAACACTACCACGACTGCAACAAGCCCTTTGCTTGGGCCCCTGGCCGGCTGTCGGGCGTAAGCCCTTAAATATAGATAGAACCGTCTTCTAGGTGCTGAAAGGAAGTGGTCCTCTTTTGGAGAAACATCTCCCTCAGTCAAAGCAATCAACTTGACACGAATGCACCGACCTTGCGAGGGCTCCTCGGACATAGGTGTCTTGTTGATCAAAATCGGGGGCCTGATACTTCCTGCAGCTCTTTGGCTTCATGTCTTTGCTCTCACTCTCTTGGGAGCTGTGGTTTTCCTCCAATATAAGATCGAATGCAGCCAAACTAATTCCTAGAGCTGCACAAACTCCAACCCCAGCGCGTGCGTCGTCCTGACTCAGCAAGTTGGCTCAGCTGGCTCAGCTCATATTGTGACTTGGGCATGCTGGTCTCGAAGGTTGATCCTGTAGACATCTTGTTGCTGATCTGTCAAAGCAAACACCTGTAAGCTTCCAGTGAACTTGATAGACGTGAAAGGAAAACCTGATTCCTTGATCTGCACATCAAAGCAACATGCGTGCAAACAGCAACTCCAAACAGTCTTGTCAAGTAATCAATCTCTGATGAGAAGAAGATATCGAAATGCTAGGAGGTCTAAGTAGCTTTCAGAAGTACCACTTAAACAGTAAGTTGCTGCTTTCCGTGCGGTAGGCCCGAGCTCGTGCCGCTAAGAAACTGTTTGAAGCCGAGAAAGCCTGCTCAGCTTGTGTCACTCCTGAAGGACAGGCTCTATAGACAGAAGACCGTTCCAAAACGCTTGAGCGTGTTGCTCATAGAAATTGAACGATATATATATAATACAATCTGGGGTCCAACTTGTCCAACTTCTACTACAGTATGCGGCTTTCCGTCAACGTACTTCCACCAACCAAAGGAGGGAGAACAGCTCGACATATTTGGCGCCTGCTTCAACTTCCTCTGGTTTGTCTGCAACGAGCTCAGCACCAACTCGACTCAAACCTGATAGGCAGAACAGTCTGCTTGAGCTCAGTCTGCTTGTGGGATCCACAATAAAATTGTGGGATCTCTGCCAGGGGGCTGTCGCTGCGCCTCCAATTCGGCCGTGCTGGGCAGCGTCTCGGTGGAATGTCAGGCCTCACCAAGACAAAAAACAAGCTCAAAAGAATACCATTATCACACTCATAAAGAGTTGCAACCTATCGAGGTCATGAAAATGTCATCAGTTCTTTGCCCTTTTGCTCAACATAGCTTGCACGTGCTGCTCGTTTGTGCTCCCTTAGGCCGTGGCCAAACTTCTTCCATCTCTGGTAGTCGCTGTGACAGTCGCTGTGAAGCTGGTTCTGCAGGTCTCTTACGCTCTTCCAGGAGGAGGCTGTTGGTCCTGGAAGAGCCAAGTGGGCGACTCCGATTGAAAAAGACACACCCGACCTGACAGTCCGATCTGCATTCATGTAAAATTACACCTGTACGTACATCAATATGGCTACTATGCGTCAAACGAATGACTCAGAAATAAAGAGACTTGTCAATCAATTCATCCGGCAAGGTTGTCAGTGTTTAAGCAAGGTGCTTTTCACCCAAGAGTTCCACTGCTCAAAGGTGCTAGATACACCTGCGTGTGTCAGGAAGAATCTTGCGTGGGGGGGACTCCTGCGACACTCGCTGCGTGCTCGCATTGGATCTGGAGGCCCAGACTTGGGCACTAATGCGCTCATCAAAAGCCGTCCGAAGTCCGCCATGACATGCACAAACCCTACGGATGTTTTGTGATTCTAATGTAATTATTCCTTTAAACAGCCCCTTGGAACCCGTGCAATCTGTGATAGACTGGGTACGGCTACAATTCGTATAATTATTGCGAGCAATCTTCGGGGGTCTTTGGATTTGGATGGGTTTGGCATGATGAATCTATATATACTATGTTGTCTGTCGCGAGACCGCTATCATGTGTCATGGCTTGGCTCAATTTCCTCAAATCCGGGGTCCAGCAGGACCTAGGATTTTGTTTTAGCCAGGGAGGGGAAGATCATAAAACAAGACACATTGACCCACATGTCAATGTCAATGAGTTGTGTTGCTCTTGCCTGTCCCCTGCAAAAGGTGACAGAATAATTGCAAGCCTGTTGATATTTTACAACCGAAACATGCTGGCTGGCCCACTAGGCAAAAGCTCGGCAGGGAAGTGGTAGTGGTTGAGACTGGTTGAAATAGATCCTGCAAATATATGCAAATGCTTATGTCACAATGTCCAATAGAATTCAATTGCAACATGTGAAACATTGTGCAACCATGAGGAGCGTCATACGCATGGCTTCCACCGGCCCACCTCCAGTAGATTTCTGCGCACTGAACTATGGACAAGACCTTGGAGGGACACCATTGCAAAATGTGCATCCCTCCCAAGGTAAAGTGTCTTGAAAAGAGAGACAGAGTATTTCGAGTGTTCTCAATCAGCCGTGGCCAGCTGAGTGCCACTCTCCGTTTGCTATGTCGTGCAATGCACATCAAGGCACTGTGCCAAGCCTGCTTCGAAACAAACAAGAGAGAGAGAGAGAGAACGTTTAAGTAAGTTTTTGAAGCGAAGGATTCTTCAAGAAAGCTCCCTGCCCTCAGGTCAAGAGACGTTTCCTTGAAGAACCCTGGCTGGCAAGAAAATATTATTTCATTAGGTTCATTGGTTCCATAGAAAGAGCAATAGCAACGGCCTCCAACCTAATAGCGATGGCCTCCAACCTATTTTCTCACATAGCTTCCATCAGTTTGTGCTTGGCAGGAAGCAAAGCTGTGCGGCTTCACACTTATGGACTCCACACTGAGACCTGAGTTTTTAGCACTCGAGCCTCTCGCTTGTTCAGCTCATCAATGCCAAAGCACATGTCGGGGTCATCTCGGCTTTGGATGCCTCCTGCCCTTGACACGAACAAGGAGCAGCTAAGCCTGCATCTAATTCTATACAATTTGTACGACTGAAGCTGTTCATATGCATTCTGGCTACAACCCGTTGTCCCAAAAATGATCTTCATCACACCAACGCTCCAAACCGCCTGGCTCGTGACAAGCCGCTTGACAATGACCTGAAACAGTCCAAGGTGATCAAAGCTGTGCTTTTGCCTTGGCACTGCCAGCAATGGGCTTCAAACCAGTCTTCCATCATCTCGTCACCAATTTCCACGAAGTCTGGTCTTGCCTGGCAACTTGGTAAAACGTCTTGAACAAAACGATTAGTTTAAGTTTCCCAAAAATCTAGGATCCAAATCATTAGTAGTATCATTAGTGCAAGCGCTTCTTCAATGAAGCTCCCCTCCGCCCTCAGGCGGGGGGAGCTTACTTGAAGAAGCATGAGCTATCCTGCGTCGTAGGTAGTAGCTACTCAAGCTACTAGCTACCCGAGGTGAAGTCGGTGAAAGTCGGTGAATTGGAGATCCAAGGCCCCAAAGGGAAAAGTACGATACTCAACCACTGGACATCAAAATTGGGTCCCAGCAAATCTCACTAAACAAAAAGCTATTAGAAACAAGTGCCACGCTAGTAGTAACAATGTTTGCTAATAGCAACAAGTGCCGCGTCTTGGTAGTCGGACCCCACAAGCGCAACAGGTCTTAGCGTCTTAGCAGCTCGCGGCTCTTCTCATTTTAAAGCACACCGGTCGGTCTCTTTTTTTTTGGCAAAGGTCACAGTCAAAGGATCACCGGTACGTGCCTGGCAAATGGTAGTTGGTTGAGAGGAGTCGCCGAACCCACATAAAGCAAGACTTCTTTTGTATGCACTGTATAATGCCCCAAAGTACTTGACAGGCACAAACGAAAGCGAGGGAAAGTCGGAGCGGTGCCCCGACAGGTGCTTTTTGTTGACCAACAATGCACGAGATGGTGTCACTCGGAGTTCTTCAGTTTCTCTTATAGACTTGTTTTGCTGTTTTCTTTATGGTCCTTTCTTTGTTTCTCTTTTGCTTTCACGACCTTTAGACAGACCTCTCTTTTACTTTATGTATGTCTGTCCTTTCTTTCTTGACATAAATAATAAATATATATATAGTATGCAAAAGGTTCTCCAGAACTTCCTCGGATTTCGCAGCACCCGTGTGTTTACCCTGCTTAACCTCACTAGTGATGAACAATCAGTCATGGTGGCCACAGCAAGTTACATGCGTGTTGAACTTAGCCCCCCAAATTGTGATCCCAATGCACGTCAACACAATTGATACAATTGTTCATAAAATTAGAGCACTGGGATCCACACAAGCACGTTGCATCTGGTGGACAGCTGACACCATCCACTACTGTAGGCGGTGTAGAAGCCTTTGGCACCATGAGGCCGAAAATTCAGGCATCCAATAGCAACAATGTAGGTAGGTAAATACTACTGTAAATATTCATGGCGAAGGCATGCGAAGGCAAAGAAACTACAAGGAGTCATCCTATCGACCTCATGTACTCCAAGTCTTGACAATGTGGCCAGGTCGCGACAGAGTGGCCTCCGCTGGCAGCGCTCGCGGCACCGCGAGCCATAAAAGAGAGAGCTTTCTGCGCTGGCACGACGTGCACCTCTGGAGTCTTAGTTCCATATGTCCGATGAGTTGTCAACCTTTTCCATGTTGCAAAAAGAAAATCCGTTCTTCATCTTTCTCGGACCTTCCGTTCCATTGGGAGGTGGTTTCGCGTCCTAGTTTTCACCAAAGTTTTTGATGAGGGTGCAAAAACTGCAGCCGCAGGGGCCTCCAAAGGGTGAAAGGCCACCATAATTGTCCAGCGCACCTATGGAAAAGGCGAAACGTTACCGTTAAAGAAAACAGGGAACAGCCAAAAAACATGAAAAGAAATCGTGTGCAAAAATATCGCAAGTCCCAGGTTTACATCAAAACTATATGGTGCAAACACCAAGACTGGTGGCGCGTTGCCTTCCAGCAAGTCGCCGCCATCTTCACAGAAGGAACCACTGCTGACGTGCTGAAAGGTGTCCTCATTCGATGGAACTGGCAGTGTGGCAGTGTGGCAGAAAGAAAGGAACGCGCAAAGGGTCTGTCTGATGGTCAAAGGATTGGAATTATGACTCATGACTGTCATGACCATGCGACGGGCATCTGTGTCATTCTGTGTCTCTGACCCCAATCTGATGTCTCAAATCATCCAAAGACTGTTTCTGACGCCTCTCAGGGGCCGGCTGATTCGCGTTCTGGAGCCGCCTCTCTGAAATTTGCAGAATCCTCCGTTGTGTCCTCCGTGGAATTCTCACCTAGACCTGAAAACTCAGCCGTGTGGAATTCCAGGTCGGCGCAAAACTTGGGGGGAGGGGTCAAGACCTGGAGTCCCAACACCATGTAACGTAGCTTGACCCACAGCCACATCCGTCTTACCGTCTTACCCAAGTGAGTCTGCTGAACTGAGACGAAATACATGACAGTCTGTGCAGCAATACGAACTTAGTTATCCGTGCCACTTCAATAATACCAACTCTGGCGTCGGTCTCTGTCAATCTCTGTCATCTGTTTGGTACACTGATACACGTAACGCATGCTGTGCCATGTTGTTGCTACAACGAATTCCACAAGTCCTAATCATGCGACTCAAACCGGATGTGTGCTGTCAAGCTTCCCTCTGAAAGTCCCTCTGCGTTGCGATGTGAAAACGCAAAGGCCACACAAGCAACCTGCTGATGGTCAAGGGCCAGCAATTGCAATGTCCAATCATTTGGAATCTGCTAGGTGCAAGGGCCACAAAACGCAATTCAATATTCCAGTGAAATACAAGTTCCTTCAGGATCCTTCAGGTTGGCAAATGATGCCAAATGCTCAAGATTGTGGTCAGAAAACTCAGGAAGAAAACACAAACCCCTACATTGAAACAAAACAAAAGTGATGACTACTGGCTTGTGAAGTTGGAACCTATCTGAGGGCGCCAGCTGGTGCCAGCTGTCAACAAAAAAAAATCCGAAGACCCATGAACCTTCATGAACCTTTATGAACCTTCAACCGCAAAAGAAACCCTGCAAACTCTGCAATAGTTCTGCAAGAACTCTGCAAGCAAAACTAGCTGTGCTGCTGCATCAATAAGAATCGAGGATTGTATGCGCACTTGCGGTCAATATAACAGTTTTAAGTGCAGCTCTGTACTGTGCCTCTGTCCCTGATGTGCTTCTCACTTGCAGAGCACCGCCCCATTGTCCAGTGATGTTCTGGTGCAAGGGCCTGCTGGCCGAACAACATTATGAGCGCTAAAATGACAATGTCGAATAAGCGCACAAATGTTCAATGTGCAATGGCCGTGCATAGAATCTACATGTCAGTTTGTGAAATGTGGTGCATAAGCACACACACAGCAAGCTGGAAGTTGTTGTTGGAACACCGCCACAGTGGTAGAAATGACCGGAATTGGATCATATGGCTTAACATATACATATACCTGAGAAGGGAGGGGACGAAAGCCAGCCACCGTAAAAGATATCAATATGGCTATGGGGGGTGATTGCGAAAGCCCTGGTGAGCTCCCCACCTCTTTTCCTATCACCTCCCCCCACTATGCCCAGCTTGTACATGAACTCCCACTCCATATGGGGTGCCCTTTTGCGTCTGGTCAACAGGCCTCTTCACCATAAAAAAAAAGGGCACCCCCAAGCAACTCAAAGCTTGCCCGCTGCATTCTGTTCCCTCCCTGTTCTCAATGATGTTCTCTTTCCTGCCCTCAACGGACCACAGCATTGCATGAACTCGCACTCCATATGGGGTGCCGTTTTGCGTATAGTTGACAGGCGTCTTCACCATTAAAAAGGGCGCCCCCAAGCAACTCTAACATTTCTTGCAAATACTCTGTTCCTACCACGTCCTAAGCCTGTCTTCCACCTTCCCCACAGCACTCTGGCTCCTCACAGATCATGTCTTAAGAGACACACAAGTCCCTTGAGGGGTTCCAACCACTTGTCGCATCCCGTTGTCCCCTCCTTCCTATCATTGACATCAACTCTCACCCCTGGTAGAAAACAGCTTACATTGCCTCCTGAGCCCCTCGTGATGCTGATGATGTACTGCTGGCCGTCAATTACATCACCGGCATCACAACACCCCCAAAAACTACTCATTTTCACTACCAAGTGGCCACCTCTTTTTTTCGCTCTCCCCCACCAGGCTCTGGGTTCAACTCTCCGAAATTGGCCACCTCGCGACCACCCCCCGACACCCCCTTTAACTCACTGCGTTCGCTCCCCTACCTTAAGCCTAGCACCTTCGTGATATATATATATATATATGCAGTTTCATAAGAATCATTGCAGTGCTGGCCTTTTCACTCGTGCTGCAACACGGGCGGGCAAAGGGCAATCTGAAATGGCATAAGTCCCTGCGTCACCTCAAACTGCTGAAAGGCTGGCGGTTTAGAGGGACTTTTCCAGACTGTTCCAGCTGTCGATAGGAAATATGCTTCTGCTTGGTCTCGTTTCCAGCTGCCGGTAAGGTCTGCACACTGCCCAGGAGACCGACATGTTGGTGAAGATTCGGATGAATTCCCTTTGGACCTTAGTTCGGTATAGTTCGGTTCCAATTCGACCGTCTTCGATTATCTTCAAAGCCTTCATGTCGTCACTTATTGGCGCAAGTCTCTTCACCTTCATCCGTTATCATCGGTTCTCAAAAATCTCTAGCCCAAGGTGCAGAAGAAGCGGCTGAACGGTGAACATAGTGTTTCGTTGACACCGTGAGTCGCGGAGGAAGTCGCAGCAAACATCATAGCCACCAAGGCGTTCCTTGAGGTGGAGCCGCGGGGCTGCGGTTCGATTCCAGAACGCCTCTCCCCCGTCTTTCCTGCATGAAACCAACAGCTACAGTAATAACTCCATCTGAATCTGAAGAACGTGTATTTGTAAGTTGTTGCTGTTTCCCACCGCTGTTTCCACGCTTGACAGGTGAACCTTGCAATGCAAGCACGTTGCGCCAAGTCTCGTCACCACGGTAGTGAACCGTGCTTCCGTTCTTCAAACCGAAAGCAAAAGTCCAGCTCCCGCCATCCATCAACAAGCCCTCATGGTCGAACTCAACATCCACCTCACATCTGCATGTCTCTCAATGAGCACGAAGCCATGCGATTGCATGGGGACGAAATGACACACTCCATAAAGATTCCTGGAGGGGAAACCGCATGGCTCCCTGTCCAATCAAATTGGTGTGACAAGTGATCAATTCAAAAAAGCATCAGCCAGCAGCTAACGTGTGTTCTGGACAACAGATTGTTCTTCGCACAACCAATGACTAATGCGCAAACTGGTTTGCGAAGAGTGTCGTTTCTAAAGCTGTCATTTGCTGCGGCTTGCGTAGAAAGCTCTTGTTTGGATGTGCCTTTGAAAGTGGCAGCGTGTGATCCACTTTGTGTGGGGAAGTCAGACTGGTTGAAGATTGAATGCCCAAAGACTCAAACACAGTCCCTGCAAGTTGACTTGTTTGCAACTATAATGAAGGGAGTCGACACACGCAATCCGATCGGCACCTGCAAGTAGGGCCAGTCATCTTGAAGCTGAACCTGCTCGGTTCAGCTGAGACGAGGCTCGTGGGGTTGGAGCATTTGTTGCCCGATTGTTGTTGCTGTTTGCAACAGTTTGCAATCAGTGCAGTCCGCATGGCATGATGGGCATGATGAGTTTCATGCAGTGTTGTAGGTGTTGTTCTGGGACACAAATGTTTCAGAGCAGTCTCAAATTCTGTATATTATACACACTACAAATATCTTCAAATCATTAATTCCTGCAGGAGTGTTCCTCGCATAGAACGCAGAAACCGACATCAGCACAGCAAATCCTCACCACTAGACATCATCATAAAATGCACTCAAATTTCGTGCAGAATCTCAGGTCTGATCTTTCTTGATCATATAAACATTATATATATATACAAACGTATGGATCAATCTATAAACTATGACTATAAAATCTATAAACATCTTGCACTTCGGAACAATACACTCGGTCGACGTCTGATTCGGTAACCAAACGGTCTGATTCGGTAACTATG